GTAATTGGCTGGTTACACACTTGTGTAACAATGTGGCTGTTGGAATGTCCGAAGTAAAATAAGAGTTGAGATAAAAAAATCGACTTCGGGATCGCTGATCCTTTAAAGGATTCTTAACGCGTTGTTTCAATACCATCTTCCTCCTATTGGTTTAGCGTGTTCAATCCTCCCGAAGTATTTCATGTCTAATCAGCAAGCAAAGATCAAACAAGTTTAGTCACGCGAAAATCAAACTTTTAAATGCTCATTTTAATTATTGTGTCGTAACAGCGGTTTAATTGCCCTGTAAGATCCTTCAATGAAACGATCATAAAAAAGGTATTTCTGTTTATAAATAGTTGTATGTAATAAAACGTATGTCAGCGCTTACCCCTTCATGCGTAGTGTGAGTTTTAAATGATCATTTAAATTCCTCGCCGGTCAAAATATAATGTAACAACATCTTAGATCAGACTAAAAAATCAAAAATGCCAATAAAAATTTAACTGATATTATTAAATTTGTAGATCTACCTGTCATGAACTTTGTCAACGGTAAAATAAATAAATCAAGTGGTACCCGGTCGTAAAATCAATAATAAGTTCAAGATTCACAACCAGCAAGAGTACGAGATAAACTCATGTGATCCTCAGTCTCTCAGTCCTCACTCAGCAGGAGTTGGAGAATGGGGACGCGTTGTGAAAGCCACCGTAAGGAAGGCTTACTGTCGACGCCGACCAATCAAAAGAAGAAGACTGGCTAACTGGTCACGTGACAAGCGTTTGTAGAGCACGTGACTTCAGTTACACGTCTACTAGTTCAGTGGTGATTTCAGCGAGAAACCATTATAAAGTTATAAGTACTGACAAGAATTAAATTTCGATGCAGTCCGAACTCCGACATTTATATTAAATTACAGTACTGGTGCCAATCATTTGTTGCTGCACAAAGAAATGATACAGATTGATCTCAAGGATCTTAAAAGATCTCAAAGATATCAAAAGTTCACAAGAATGCTGCCTTTGACCCTGATCAGCTGATCAAATCTTTAATTTGCCCCAGTATCTACTATTATAGTATTATAGCTTACCATGGCCCTTTGTACCTGCTTCTTTGTTGAGTTATGTGTGACGTTAATTTGCACCCACTTTCGAGCAGATTGATCTGATCACTATTATAGCAATACAAGGTTTAATGATAATAATGTTGATGCATATTTGAAAATAACCATTATTAGCGTGATTAGCAAAAATTAATGTTGTAGCACCTCCCTGAGGCTAAAAATGTTGACTTGAAAATGCTATTTTGGACGGCAAATAGCGAATTTGCACGTGCAAATGTGTTTTTTATTGTAACATTTTACACGAATTTGTGCTGGATCTATTTTTTTTTCTGCGTTCTGAAATTTAATTTTTTTCCCAATCCTACGAAATTTAGCATCAGCGCAAGAAGCCAACAAAAATCTTATTCCTACGTGCAGCTTTCCTACGTGTAGCTTTCAGCGGGTAGACCCGTTGAGCAATATGGGAGGTCTAGAATCCTTTAATTAAAGACCTTTATCTTTTCCTGACTCCTGAAGGGACTATGAAATGCTATTTTACAGGTGAGAACATGACGTGTGCTAAATGGAAGTTTCGTTGACAATATTATCTGTATAATATTATTCTGGTACATTTATCATAACCAGTAACCACGACTTGCTGCATTCTTCAAGGAAGATTTGTGGGTTATCCTATCTACTATTGGTGACTATTCTGAGTTTTGTCGCTGTGGGTAACCGTAAGCTAAGATACCTGAATAATAATAGCAGTAGAAAGTTGTAACTATAGACATGTGAAATATTATATGCCTATCTTAAAAGTTCTTCCTGTGACAATCTTTAAAAATTAAATTGGGAAAAAACGTGGTCCATCTCGTGCTAACTTTCCTAATGTTTAGTATGTATTTATAATGACCAGGGTCTAGTATGTATCTATATCTCTATATCTCAGGAAAGTTGTGTAATAATACCATGGAAACCCTGCTTGGGTTTCCTAAAAGAACACGTATCTTGAGCGACCTCGTTGTGACGACCATGTTATATTAGACTGACGCCTAATAAAAGTGACTATGCCGTAATTTTAGCGTCAAATGTGTTGACAAAATACTTAATACACCGACTAATTAATTTATTTTACAGCTTAGCATATCCACATGTTTAGCAGAATTGGAACTCTTCTCCAATATTCTCACTTTCTTACACTCATCGCCTATTATAATAGCTGTGTTAGCGTAAAGTTTAAATGTTAGAGAGAAAACACTGGCTAAGTCCACCTAAAGTCGGTAAACACAACGTTGTCGTCACTCTTTCTGAGAATTTCTAAACGTCTAAAGGTCTGGGATTCCAGCTCATGATTGTCGTAAATGCGCGGGAACCCAAGTCAGAATCACTAATCAAGGCTTCTAAGTTTCCCTAATTCACCCAGTTCTCCTCTAATTACCCGTGGTTTGGTTTGATATTTCATAAACCATGTGTACTTTAAAATCCAGGAAATACTAGTTTCCATGCCAACAAGCCGGTTAATTTGTGAGTCTAACTTGGAGCGCGTCCTGTGATTGGTCAACAGTCTAAGGTCCTGTGTTGTGATTGGTTAATGGTTGGTCACGTGAGGTGGTCTGCATGTTTGGTGCGTGTGGGAGTCTGACGGTGACTCCCTGAACCACACGCAAATGTAGTTAACTACTAAAAACTGTTTAAATCTAATCATGTATTATGTATTATGTATTATGTATTATGTATTATGTATTATGTATTATGTATTATGTATTATGTATTATGTATTATGTATTATGTATTATGTATTATGTATTATGTATTATGTATTATGTATTATGTATTATGTAGTATGTATTATGTATTATGTATTATGTATTATGTATTATGTATTATGTATTATGTATTATGTATTATGTATTATGCATTATGTATTATGTATTATGTATTATGTATTATGTATTATGTATGTATTTTGTGAATGAAATCCCAACCTTATCCTATCTTATCTTATGATTTCTGTTTTCAGGTATGTTATCTTTCATGAATAATCTGATTATCTTGCTGATAGCCTTTTGAAATACGAATGATCTTCCCTTTACTGCGTTGTTTGCTATGTTCTTAAAAATTTTCGGTCAAAAAGAGTAGGCATGTAGTGAAAATTGCGAAAGCAGAATCGGGTAGGGTGGTGACAGAAATAACAGCAAACATATTATCGAATAGTATATAAACTATTGATAAAGTCAATTATATCTAATGTAAAAGGTCTATTAATATATAATGTTTGGTATATAAGTATATACTGGTAAATCCCGGAATTCGACTAATAATATGTCCGGAATTTGCGGTTCTAATGTATCTCACCCCACAAGTAGTAGCTGCACACGCCCTACGGGTGAATTTAAAAGCTTTAAACATGGGACTAAAATGTGCACACCGACCCTCCTTATTGATATTTGGTGCACGTGTTCATTTGGCGCACGTGGAGAACAAACACCACTCTGTACGCAGCATGTGCAGAGTAAAAACGAGTTATAACATCTAAAGCTGGGCTGCACTTCCGGATCTTTAGAACTACAACATGGCAAAATATTATCCACATGTTGTCCAGTGTCCACCCGGCGTCGGTCAGGAAGTTTTAAAATTTTACGGTAGATTTAAAACTTTTAAAATAATATAAGTCTGTTTCTTATGAGGAGTAACATGAATGATTGATAAGACAACTGACGACCAAATTTAAAATTTGATGTTCTGAAATTTGATGCCAAGACATTGAACCCGCGGCATGATCATTGAACCGAACTCTGACAATAACCAAACGAATAGTTCTAGATGTGAAGGATCATATTCATCCTTCTGGACACAGGACAACTGAACCCAATCGTCACTAGATATCCTTCTGGACAGCGCGTGAACAATACAAAAATAAATTTGTTTGGAAAACAAATAGAATAATATATAACAATATAATTTACAACAATGTATATCGACCAGATTTGAATCATCAATTAGTTGAGTCCATAGGACTCATAATTAGCTAAGCTTTGATACAAAGCATGCGAACTCAAAGTCGCTTTCACAACTTTTATCAACTGAATTGACAGAAGATCTGGTTCCTTTTATATACAAGAATAAATGAAGAAAAAACACCGGCTCCTCCTGCACCTGCTCCATTTGCTACACCGGTTCTTCTAAATTACATTTCGTAAAAAAATGGTACCATTTCCTAACGCAAGCTCACTTGCTCCTTCGTAAAGACCAACTCACATAATCCTTTGGTGGTTTTAAGCAACTTTAAATCGAAGGTGTCCGATAGAACTTAGAAGGTGTTCGAAGATAATGATATTATCTTAGAACACCCTCGATATTAAATGAAATTTGCTATGTTTAATTAAATAAATGAACGTTCTACAAATTCCATGGAATAAAGCGTAGCTACCGAATGCCAAGCTGGTCAGCCACTGAACCGAAAAAAAAATTGGAAAAATACTTAGAATTCTCAAAATTCTAAGTACAGTAAAACCCCGATTCACTGTATACCCCGATATACCGCGGCCATTTCCTTTCCCCCAAATAGGGCTGAATAGGGCTGAACAAACATAATGTAAACCAAACAAACCCCCATTTACCGCGGACCCCCATTTACCGCGGATGTTTCCTTTCCCCCAAACTCCGCGGTAAATCGGGATTTTACTATACCGAGAATATTTTGAAAGATCGAAATTGTTGAACCTAATTTGAAAAAAATATATAATATGTAGTAGATAAGATTAGGATAGTGCAAGATTTATAACGAACAGCTTCTGATCCTCGAAGGAGGGAGCAATTAGAGGAAGCTTCGTAGTTTTAAGGAAATGTGGTCAAGATAAATTTAGTGTGTCATTTATAGGGTGCTGTAATCAGCAACAACAATATTGCAGCGCCCAATTGTTGGTGCGTTTATTATGAACATAGGTGTGCGAATCTTGATTATCTAATCTTATTTCAGATTTGTTTGTCCGAAAGATTGCATCGCAACCAACTTCACCGGGGATTACACAGAGGTTGGTAGTTCATTTTACAAATTTTTAGCGCTCCTTCGATGTAGGCAATGCAGTATTTTTGCAGTATTTTTAATTTTCACAGTAACTGACTCAGTACTGTCGCAGTACCTTTTTGTCACAGTTTTGTTGTCGACATACTATCGCATGACCGATAGTTTGAGCTACAACTTCAATTATATAATAAATATAATGTTTTTACCAGTTTCGGGAGTAATAAAGTTTATTATTATCAATAACATGTTTTTGCAGGAGAGCGCACCTTGCAGAGACGCACAAAGCTTATTCTCTGCCAATAACGCTGTTGATATGTTTAAAGATGGGAATGGGACGTATTCTCTGATATCCAGGTTAGAGCCTTTTTAGTGTTTCTTCTCCTTACTCTTTTGGTCAGAAAATCTTATAAAAATTTTCACTGAAACCCTAGGCCTAAGTAAGCCATTTCTGTGCTGCCTGAAAAGTTTTTAGGCAGCACAGAAATGGCCTAAGATGGGAAGCTAAGGGCAAATAACTACAAATGAGAAACTTAAGCATCTGGATTCAGGACAGTATTCAATTTTTGGTATCTACTAAACAATGGTGCACTTTTCCTTGCCAATATCTCTCATTATCTTATTACTGTAATTTATATTACTCAAGTCTGAAAATATATAACACTCTCAGAGACGGGACTTGTAGGCAAGAAATTGATACCCTGGCAAGCCACCTTTGAACCTGACCATGTTTTACAATCTGAGCCCGAGTATTAATTGCCTGCTCTCTTCCCCTATTGGCTGAAACAATACCACGTGGCAGTATTTGATTAATAAGGGGTTCTTTGGAGAGTGCAGAGAGTGCAAGGACCATGTTTTGTCATCACGTGTTATCACGTGACATAGCCTTGGGTTTTTGGTAGGTCACGTGATGCTTTGTATTACAGCACGGCCCGGAGTTGCTTTACTATTAATGTTAGGGTACAGTCAGGCTGTCTTTACTCGTTGGGTAATTAATAGGGTGCATGTGTTGGGTATTGTATTTTTCAAGAACATGATCCTACACGCAAATTTTATCCAATTTATGATAAAAAATATGACTTATCTGGTAAAATCAACCAGATCTAACCTTTTTGACCTAGAAATAGGCTATATCTGGGGTAGAGTTCATATGACAACTCTATACATAGAAGCTATAAATTAAGAAGTGAACATGATCTGTTGATCTCTCTGAACTTACGACCGTTAACTTGTTCGGCAGTGAGTCGCATCAATGAATTCAGGAGAAATTGGATATTATTAAGTGTCTTGGAGAACTATCTGCTGTATTCGAGAGTCTTCTTGGGTCCTTTCAAGGTGACAGTCTCTCCGGCAAGCTTTTCACTCTTGTCCTAGCAGGAGCTCTTATAGAACTACGCCATCGACTAGCAGAATCTCCCCCACACATACCCAATCCCCCTATTTCAAAAGAAGGTATGCCACTGGAGTCAGCGTATTCAGATGATTGTAACTTCATGAACGTGGAAAAAGAATCCTTAGAAGCTATCCTACCAATAGCTAAGGAAGTCTTCAAGGAGTTTAACCTGTTCATTAACACAGAGAAAACAGAATTTACCCATGTTTTCCTCGCTCCTGTTGGGGAAACAATCCCTGGTCGTGATGATACCATGTTACGTGGAAATGAAGATTGGCGGAAGAGTAAGATTCTTGGGTCATTGTTGTGTAGTGAAAGTGATATAGCTGCTCGATGCATTGCTGGGAACAATGCCTTCTATAAGTTCACCAAGATCTGGTCTCAGCAGAATATCTCCGTTACCAGAAAGATAGCAGTATACGAAGCCCAAATTGTATCAATCATCATGTACAATTGCAGTAGTTGGTGTCCTACTGCAAAGTCACTAGAAAAACTAGACATTTGCCATAGAAAACACCTTAGATCATTACTGAACATTTATTGGCCTCATGGAACAATATCCAATGCAAACTTATACCTAAGATGTAACTCAGTCAAGCTATCAGATCGTGTCCCTAAAGCAAGGTGGAAGCTCCTAGGTCATATCTTGCGTAGTGCTGATGACTCCCCCGCTGCATTAGCGTTAAAGTTTGCTGTCACAACAAACTGTAAAGGGCGCGTCGGTGCGCATCGTAAGAATTTGTTCAAGATTATTGTGAATGATTTGACCCGTAGAGGTTTAAAACTTAACTCTTTGAATGATCTTAATAAGCTTAAGATATTAGCCGATGATAGAGTTGCTTGGAGAAACAAATTTTAACTCTAGCTGTCTTGATCTGTACTGATCACCATTTTAGGATGACTTGATTTCTTTTAGGGGTTTTGAATATTTTAATGGTGTAAACAGTTTCTTAATAATAATATTAAGTGTCTTTTGTGTACACTTTCTGATTAGCACATCGGTTGTGTAATGTGTTCCTAAGAATAAAAGAAGAGCGAAATTACCGCCCATTTTGCAATCAGACGCAATACGTGCGGAAAATTGACAATTTAATTGGCGTTTCGGTCATGATTGCTACTAGTTATTGTTCGTGAAGCACATATTCAAATATTCAAAGAACTTACTATCCAACCTAACAATTTTGGCATATTTTAGGCACTTTTAAATTTTTATCACTCAATAAAGTTGGCACAATGTTAACCCACCCTAATTGTGGTGAAATTGACGGCAGCCTAATTATATTCCTTGCTTCTTACAAAATACCTAACCTAACCTGTCAAGCTACCTTATTATACAGTTGTTATATACGTTAACCTAACTCTGCTCTGTATATTTTAGATTTACTACTGCCCACTGTCTACATATAGAGCCAGTAATAATAATAATATTACCGTCTGTCTACAGTTACTAGCAACATCCCAATTACTGTAAGTCTCATATCCTCTATTTACCTTCAGCCCTGAGATACCTAAGTAGGTACACACATGCGCATGGGTTGGTAAAGTTCTCATTATCTGCCCTGTAATGCCCCGAGGTAGCAGGAAATGAGGTCGATTATCTTGTTACAGACTGGCCGGTCTACTTTATTATGTCTTCTTCCAATCACCGGCCTCCTTGGCCGGGTATTATTGCACAAGATTTACAAAAATGGCTGATTATCCCTCGTAACAATATTTATAAGTTGCGGGATGGTTCGCTCTCAACTTGCAGTAGCGCGCGGTGCATAAATTTTGAAAAAAGCTTGCTGCAAATCACTCAGTAAATTCGCGCGCACACTATTATCTGGCACTGTCTATGTGAAAAAATTAATACATTTCCCGCTTGTACAGTCGTCTCATTTTAATCATTACATACATGCATGCTCATTAACATTAACTGGTCTGACCAGCATTGCCAAAGAGATGAATATGCAGCTAGATATTTTATGCAGATAAAACTATATATTTATGAATAACATTTCAGTGTGCATACGGCCAGCGTTGGACGAAGAAATTCAGAGCCATGTAAGTTGGATTTGCAGAATTTATGAATAGCTTGTCATTTTTTGTCAAGGACGTTTCTAGGATTTGAGTGCACGATATCACATCGTTTGAGCGTGTGGGTAGCAGTGGCCTGCTGTTGACTGCTAACGCATTTCGTGCGTAGTAGCAGGCCCCGCGTCATGGGGCAAAAATTATTGGCGTATGCTTGATGTTATTCATGTTTGTTATTATAGCGGTCTCATACTTATCAAAACAAGCTCCGGGCCGCTACCATCTGAATATTGTATCATATGATACATGAACATGAACTATTTCTAGACCGCTCAGTGCTCATCAAACTCAAGATCATTTGGGTTTGACCCGGCCAGGTCAGACTAAATATCGACAAAACTTGTCAGGATCTAGCAGAGCTGAAGATTTGGCTAAGAGAATGGTGCAATTATCAGTAAAATTTTATGGTATAAAATGTATTGTAGTCTACAAATATTTGAATATTGTTGAAACATGATTAGATCGGCGAGAAAGCAACAAGGCCAGCTCTGATAATATGCAAGATGATCTTAATTCAAGATGAGGGATTGATAAGCCCTGAGTTTGCTCAAACAATGGCTCGAGTTCAGAAAAATAACGACTTCATGCCTGATCACCAGTTGGAAGCTCAAGAAAATCAATGTGGCTTAAAAGAAGCACCACTAGAAGACAGATGAACATATTGTGAAGAGCCCATTCGTTAGAATTTCAATTCAATCGGTGGTCTCGGCCGGGCGTCAATTGAATAGCGACTCGGTCTGTGGTCGTATTGTTATCACTTCTTAATGAGACCACCGGCATTATTAATGAGAGATTATCGAGAGGTGCAGAAGTAGAGATTATAGAGATTTAAGATGCTTTACCTAACTCTCTAACTCACTCCTCGGAGTTAGGGGTACCAACATATGGAGAGGCTAATATAGAAAATACTGTTTCGTGCAGTGAGATATGGTAACTTGGAACATATCGATGTGGACAACTTCATACTGTTAAGTGGAGCGTAGGCGCTTAAATAATAAAGCCTTGAGCAAAGAACTGTACAAAATTCGGAACTGAAGACTGTAATTTAAACTATTCTATCGGAATTGGAAGTATGGAAGGGAATCGTTTGAAGTTTGAAGTTTGCGGGTCACGTTTTGAGAGACAAAGAGATATTCAAGAAATGATCCTCACGAGGTGTAACCATAGTTCCATCTTAATTTACGTATTTTTTTATTGAAATCTTTCAAATCGATCAATTACATACAAATTTACACAATGAATGAACAACATTAAATTTTCTCAAAAGTATAAGACTCCGATAAAATCAGATTTTCTAGGACAAAATGTATGTAATCAAAGGACCTGAGGGTCACCAAAACACAGATGTTGAGAGCAAAATGCACCTCCTGCACAAGTATGGGCCCACGAAAATCTTAAATTTTAAATAGAATTTCAAATAGAAACACACAAAAATATCAAAAGCAATCAAATCATATAATAAAGTGAAATCCATGATGTGATGACATGCACTAAAATGAGAAATGAGAAATACAGACAACAGGGATTTAAGCTCCTTATGAACATATTGTTAGCTTTAGGTAAACTGCTTCACATCTCTGTCTCGAGGGAAAAATCTAGATCATAATCAAAGTCCTCCGGCATAATTTTATCCCACATGTAGGAGGTCAATTTGCTTTTGAACTCAGAAATAGTCTCTATCTCACGTATATCTAGAGGAATATGATTCCATTTGGAATGGGTCCTAAAGTAAAAGTTCTTAGCAAAAGCGTTAGAGCTTGCTCGTGGTAAGATCGAGCTTACAAAACATAAGGGGTCCATGTGGCTATTTCTTAACCTTGAGTGGCCTTGATATGGTTGCAAATATGAGGATAAAGTGACAGGAATATGTTGCTTCACAATTTTAAAGAAGAAAATAAGGTCAAGAAAGTCGAAGCGGTCTTCTATGGGCATAATCTTAAGCTGTCTGCATTTCTGAATGTATGTGGATGGTGGATAACTCATATACTCCTCGCGAAGAATCCACTTAATAGCACGCTTTTGGAGGCCCTCCAGCTTGCTTATCTGGGATTTTGTGACCGGTCTCCATATAACTGAGCAATGCTCAAATTGACTTCTCATTAAAGTGAGATACAGTACTCTACGACGATTTACATCTTGAACAAAATAGCAATTTCTCCTTGCCATGCCTAATTTTTGGTTGGCCTTTGAGAGGACTTTAGAGCACTGGTCTTGCCAGTCGAGATTCTTGGTCACAAAAACACCCAAATCCTTTTCATGATCGACATAGTCAAGTGCGATTCTTCCCATGGAGTATACAAAGTTAAAGAGTGGTAGGACACTAAGGAGGGAAACTGTTTCGGATATCCTTCCTGCGACGGTGAGGACCTTACATTTGTCGGGATGAAATCTCATTTTATTAGAAAGAGACCAGTCATGGAGATAATCAATGTCCTTCTGCAGTCGCAGGATATCAGACTCCGAAACAATCTCACGCCAAATTTTAGTATCATCGGCATACAGTGACAGTTGTGTGCCAGGTGAAGAAAGAAAATTCATACCTCAAAGAAATTCAGAGAATCATGTTTAGTCAAACTAAATTGATTTAAACTGTCGTTTAGCTATAAAAGTATAAAGCATTTGTTTACAAATAAGCTATTAATTCCTGGATCCAAACCAACAATATGAACTGTCCGTGTCCTTTGAACGCCAAATTAAGTGTGCTCATAACTTTGACAATTAAATCTATTTATGTCACAGCTGGGTTTTGTGATCACTATTTTGCTACCACTAGGAACTACGTTAAAACTGACTTCTTTTATAATTCATACAGCACTATATATCTATTACATTTATTGAGAACTATGTAACGTGATGGAAATATTTTAAACGGGTCATATCCTGTCCAAACCCAGGATGCTTAACACGAAGAATTTGTTGTAACTTTGTATGAAAAGCTTTAATACGTATGTTAAATATCAGATATGCTTCAAATTACGTACTTCAAATTACATACTGAATAAATAATATGGAATCATGATAACCCTGGAATCTGGATTTAGCTCAATGGGACCTTGATAATGGCTCCTTTGACTTCAAAAAGAAAAACGAACCTTAGCATAACGCTTCTGAGCGGTCACGAAAGAGTTCATGTTCATGTCTAACATGATAAAATAAAAAAGGAATTCTCAAAATTGCAATATGAGAATGTGACTGCAAACTTTTTCAGTAACAAATTTTCCTAAATATTGTAACTTTTTATCCTCAGTTTGTACAGGAGACCTTAGTCTCGCTAACGATGCCTCCATCTGTATCGTAACCTGTTCTCTGCCTGACTACGAATGTCCACGTCAGTTCAAACAGTGAGTATTTGGGTGTAAAAAAAATAGATTACGATTTCCAATACGACAACAAGATATTCGAAAATCTAGACGTCATGATTTTGAATGAATAAAGAAAAATCGAATCTATTATTCAAAGTTCGACATACACATTGCACATATTGCACATATCGCGGTGTTCTTTCTGACAATCAATTATTTTTAATCGCACTAACTCTAGCTGTCCTGGTAATACAATACTTAAATATTTTAGACGTTGTGCCTGCCCGTGGAGTAAGCCTATACTAAAGGATATAAATAAAGGAATATGTGTGAGAAGTATACGGGATTGTCCTCCGTATAACACGTATATTCTACCTAAAAACGGTAAGTTTTTTTCTGTTATAACACGTATATTCGACCTAAAAACGGTAAGTTTTGTTCATTTTTTGGCAACATTTCATACAGTTTATTGTTTCTAAATTGCAGTATCGAATTCTAAGTAGGGATAAACCTGTCGATCAATTTAACTAAATAGTCTTTTAGCTTTTCATCGTATTAGTCCGTTCTTTAATTGCTAAAGCTAGATTCTAAGATGCAGTTATATTATTAAACTGTTCTATTCAACTGAAAACGGGGTTTAGCTATTTAGTGCTTACGGACCATTTTGATTTTTAGTCTAACGAAAATTTTGCTGAAACAGCAATTTAGCTGTATAACCCTTTAACTTTAAAGTCCACGCTTCATCTCACCTTCAGGTCTATTATAATTTAACTTTATGAAGTCCAATCTCTAATTGCTACTGAAAACTGAAAACGGGCTTTAGCTATTTAGTGCTTACACGGACCATTTTGACTTTTAGTTGAATGAAAATTGAAATGTCGGACAACCGTTTACGCTTCATCTCACCCTCAGGTCTATCAGAATTTAACTTTACGAAACAGCCGGAAGACTTGATCAAGAAGCGGGGAGATAAGATAAGGATGCAATGTACTGTTAACGGTAACACCAACTATCAGTATTTCTGGTACAAGTCCCAGACTCTCGTCATGGGCTCTCATTCTATCAGCGTGAGTTTTACTTTCATTTCTGACGCGAGAGGGAGGGGAATTGGGCACTATATCATCAAATCAATGCCCAATGGTCTGGGTCATTATCAACCAATTTGGAGCACCCTAATACAAGGTCAACCTTTCGTATAATTCAATTATGACATTATATAACCTGGGGACCCCAGCATTTTTTTAAAAAGGCTATTATGTTCATATTCATAAACATATAGATTCGGCTGAATGACAGGCTGAGCGCCGCCCAGTAAGATCAAGACATCATATTTATACCTTATATTGTTAACTATATTAAACTACCTCTCTTTCAGAGATCCATAGACGGATTCCTACAACAGACGGGTAACCCCTACTACGACATCAACTCTGTACAACCATCAGATTCAGGTTAATAAAATTATCACAAAATGTTTGGTTTTTTAGCTAATGGTTTGTTTATCTGGCTCTATACTAGTTGATTTGATCAAAAACGTTTTACTAAAGCTTATTAGCAGAACATTTATGTTTAAATCGTATCATGGTGAGTCTTTTTTGGCCCACTACGGGATGATATCTCATTACTCATTACTAGTATCCGTGACAAAATAAAAAACGATCGATTTACACTTGAACCTGATCGTATATATACGATCAGGTTCAAGTGTAAATCGATTTTTTTTTCATGAATCAGTTATGCTCCGATAACTGATTCATGATATTATATATATATATATACATTATCATGAATCAGTTATCGGAGCAACTCGAAATGTTTGATCAATGAGAAATGAAACCACTTTTGACTTAAAGTTAGTGAATTAGGAAATAATTAATTAATTTGTGTGACAGGATATTATCACTGTGTGGTGAGGACAGGAGATACAGTGGCGGGTATGAGGGATCCTAAATATGGATCCAGAGACGCCAAGTACTCCATTATCTCCAATATTGGATATCTAAAGGTTTGTTATTTCCGATATTGGATATCTTATGGTGTGTTATCTCCAATTGGCTCAGTGGCTTAGTTGGTTAATCTGCTTGTCTACTGGCCCTGACGTTGCGAGTTCGAATCCCAGTTGGGCCAAGATTTCAAAATTGATGGGCAGCCGTCACTCACCAAACCATGGTGTGAATGGTAGTGGCTCTCATTAGAGCTGCGAAAATAACACGAGTGCATATGCCTGGGGTTGCGTCCCGACTATGCTGCAGGGAAATCTGTACCGAAAGGACCGTGGCCGCACCGCAAAAGAAAAGGAGATCGGCCCCTCGAATCTCGATCCTAGCTTGCTAGGTTCGCCATTGTTGTTGTGTTGTTGTATCTCCAATTATATTGGATATCTTAAGGTTTGGAACTATTAGAATGGAAATCGTATCAGTAAGGTTTTCTTATCGTGACTAATACATCTGTGATATTGGTATTTCTTTGCTGTACCTATTAAAAAGGTTCTATGTAACCCTTATAGTTTACAAATAACACTGTAATTTCACTATAATTGACAGGTAGCATATCTGGATACACCAAATCTAGGTGACACTGTTACCATAGTGACACAAAAAGAGACCCTAAAAACAGTGCTGCCTTGTGACCTCCCCAAGAGTGAACCTCCTGTAGAGGCTGTCTGGTAAGGCTCACCAAATACATGATTACTAATTACTTATTATAATTACTAATTATTATGAATTACTAATTAGCTTGGTTAATTCATTAGAATAAATCAATTATTTGGCACTTTAATCAAACTAAGCTTAGGATTTGATGCCATTTGTTACAAATTTGGATAAAACTGCAATGAAACAAATTTAAATTATATCATAAAGAAACCTAGTGCATTTTATGGTTGTCAAAGGGGCATGCAACACGTGCAACCTGTGTAGTATTGCAACCTGTGTGGTATTGAAACCTGTGTGGTATTGCTCAAACCAAACCGTAACCTAGTAAAAATTAGTGGTTTGGGGCATTAAATAGAGTGACGGCTAAATTAAAGTTTAAAATCTAGGTCTCTTTGGAAATATAAAACTACAATCTGTTTGCTGACGTGTGCCACTTTAAGTTCATATAATAATGAATGAATAACATGACAAGCTTGTGGACAGAATTTTATTAACATTTTATGGCGATTTACAAAATATTCTCTTTGATAATTTCAAGGATAGTTTATGGACTGAAGAAAACTGCCAGATTGGTCAACAAGGGGATGTTTCTCAAATTTGTACCATTACATAACAATTAATAAGTTTATTTGCTTTTCTGAATAATTGTTCAGTTTTTGTAATTAGCTAATGAGTCATGATTCAGGTACAAGGGAGACAAAGTCGTTAACGATAAACGAATGTTCGTCGTACCTCAGGCTCAAAAAGCTGGTTTGGAATTTTAATTCCTTAATTTTATTTCAAGATGAGAATCATTCGTGTTTAATCCTAATTGTTTCGATTTTAGTTATCGACTTTAATTTTCTACCTCCCAAAACAAGATTGATGTCAGAATGGCCTACTTATATTCCGGCGCACGCCGCGCACGCCTGAAATTTGTTCTAATATTAATCACCAGTTAAAGCAACAACTAGCAGGTACTCAATAGTCACTCAATAGTCACTCAATAGTCACATAATAGTCACTCAATAAAGCAACAAGATTAAATCCTTAGGTGACAAAGCGAAGCGGGGCTCCCTCTACATCATCATGGCAGAAACGGGAGATGCTGGTGTATACACCTGTAAAGCAACATACGGAGGCGAGACTTTCGAGGTCGCTAAAGTAAACCTCGAAGTAACGGTGGGTTTTATAGTCAATAATATTGTCTAAAAATGGTATGATTTTAGCTATTTAAAGTATTTTTAAAGTATTAAATAGTCCATTAAACTTCAAGTTCTGAGGGACGAATAACTCACGGTTATCAAGGTAGTGGTATTTATCAAATAGCGAGAATAAAGTCCTAGTAGTAGTAGTAATAATAAGTATGATAATGTTCGAATATACTGGATTGATTCAAGTGGTAAACACCTCCTCTACAGGGAATGATAGGACAGCCGATCAGTGACCCGGAGATAGTGGTCCAGGTAGCAGGTCGAGCTCGGGTCACCACTAACCACACCACTAACCACACCTCTAACCACACCACTTACCACACCACTAACCACACCTCCTCTACAGGGAATGATTGGACAGCCGATCAGTGACCCGGAGATAGTGGTCCAGGTAGCAGGTCGAGCTCGGGTCACCACTAACCACACTACTAACCACACCACTAACCACACCTCCTCTACAGGGAATGATTGGACAGCCGATCAGTGACCCGGAGATAGTTGTCCAGGTAGCAGGTCGAGCTCGGGTCACCACTAACCACACCACTAAGTTCTAACCACACCTTCTCTACAGGGAATGATAGGACAGCCGATCAGTGACCTGGAGATAGTTGTCCAGGTAGCAGGTCGAGCTCGGGTCACCACTAACCACACTACCACTAACCACACCTCCTCTACAGGGAATGATAGGACAGCCGATCAGTGACCCGGAGATAGTGGTCCAGGTAGCAGGTCGAGCTCGGGTCACCACTAACCACACCACTAACCACACCACTAAGTACTAACCACACCTCCTCTACAGGGAATGATTGGACAGCCGATCAGTGACCCGGAGATAGTTGTCCAGGTAGCAGGTCGAGCTCGGGTCACCACTAACCACACCACTAACCACACCACTAACCACACCACTTACCACACCACTAACCACACCTCCTCTACAGGGAATGATTGGACAGCCGATCAGTGACCCGGAGATAGTTGTCCAGGTAGCAGGTCGAGCTCGGGTCACCACTAACCACACCACTAACCACACCACTAACCACACCACTTACCACACCACTAACCACACCTCCTCTACAGGGAATGATTGGACAGCCGATCAGTGACCCGGAGATAGTGGTCCAGGTAGCAGGTCGAGCTCGGGTCACCACTAACCACACTACTAACCACACCACTAACCACACCTCCTCTACAGGGAATGATAGGACAGCCGATCAGTGACCCGGAGATAGTGGTCCAGGTAGCAGGTCGAGCTCGGGTCACCACTAACCACACTACTAACCACACCACTAACCACACCTCCTCTACAGGGAATGATAGGACAGCCGATCAGTGACCCGGAGATAGTGGTCCAGGTAGCAGGTCGAGCTCGGGTCACCACTAACCACACTACTAACCACACCACTAACCACACCTCCTCTACAGGGAATGATAGGACAGCCGATCAGTGACCCGGAGATAGTTGTCCAGGTAGCAGGTCGAGCTCGGGTCACCACTAACCACACCACTAACCACACCACTAACCACACCTCCTCTACAGGGAATGATAGGACAGCCGATCAGTGACCTGGAGATAGTTGTCCAGGTAGCAGGTCGAGCTCGGGTCACCACTAACCACACCACTAACCACACCACTAACCACACCTCCTCTACAGGGAATGATAGGACAGCCGATCAGTGACCCGGAGATAGTTGTCCAGGTAGCAGGTCGAGCTCGGGTCACCACTCACCACTAACCACACCACTAACCACCACTACCACCTCCTCTACAGGGAATGATAGGACAGCCGATCAGTGACCTGGAGATAGTTGTCCAGGTAGCAGGTCGAGCTCGGGTCACCACTAACCACACCACTTACCACACCACTAACCACACCTCCTCTACAGGGAATGATAGGACAGCCGATCAGTGACCCGGAGATAGTTGTCCAGGTAGCAGGTCGAGCTCGGGTCACCACTAACCACACCACTAACCACACCATTAACCACACCTCCTCTACAGGGAATGATAGGACAGCCGATCAGTGACCCTGGAGATAGTGGTCCAGGTAGCAGGTCGAGCTCGGGTCACCACTAACCACACCACTACACACACTAACCACACCTCCTCTACAGGGAATGATAGGACAGCCGATCAGTGACCCGGAGATAGTTGTCCAGGTAGCAGGTCGAGCTCGGGTCACCACTAACCACACCACTAACCACACCTCCTCTACAGGGAATGATAGGACAGCCGATCAGTGACCCGGAGATAGTTGTCCAGGTAGCAGGTCGAGCTCGGGTCACCACTAACCACACCACTAACCACACCACTAAGTACTAACCACACCTCCTCTACAGGGAATGATAGGACAGCCGATCAGTGACCCGTAGATAGTTGTCCAGGTAGCAGGTCGAGCTCGGGTCACCACTAACCACACCACTAACCACACCTCCTCTACAGGGAATGATAGGACAGCCGATCAGTGACCCGGAGATAGTGGTCCAGGTAGCAGGTCGAGCTCGGGTCACCACTAACCACACCACTAACCACACCACTAACCACACCTTCTCTACAGGGAATGATAGGACAGCCGATCAGTGACCCGTAGATAGTTGTCCAGGTAGCAGGTCGAGCTCGGGTCACCACTAACCACACCACTAACCACACCTCCTCTACAGGGAATGATAGGACAGCCGATCAGTGACCCGGAGATAGTGGTCCAGGTAGCAGGTCGAGCTCGGGTCACCACTAACCACACCACTAACCACACCACTAACCACACCTTCTCTACAGGGAATGATAGGACAGCCGATCAGTGACCCGGAGATAGTGGTCCAGGTAGCAGGTCGAGCTCGGGTCGGACAGACAGCAACTTTCTTCTGTGCAGGAGTCGGTAACCCTGTACCTACTGTCTCCTGGAGCAAGGAGGACGGTGAGTTCTGAGTTCTGAGTTCTGAGTTCTGAGTTCTGAGTTCTGAGTTCTGAGTTCTGAGTTCAGTCAAGGTTGCAGTTTCATGGTTGCAACCGGGTTAAATGGCATGCTGGTTTTGAGCAAGTTTAAATTAAACTTGCTCAAAACCAGCATACCTTTTAAACCAACCCAATTAAACTTTAATTGGGTTAACCTACAATATATTTAAGGGCCGGTTAAAACTACTTCTTTAAATGTAATGAATTACAGGCACGAGAATTGTTGAAAGTGATACGGTGGGGCTGTCAAACTTTAACAGAAAGCTCACCATCGCAAACGTTCGGCCAGAGATGACACGAGATTTCGCTTGCACTGTTCGGTAACGGCTTGAAATTTGTTATAAAACTGCTTTAACCTGAGTCCTGACTAGTTTTACTCTTGGCGTTAATGAAACTATTAAAGCTGATATATAATCCTCTCCAGATCAGAGAACAGCATGAACTCAAGGAAGACCATCCTTTACCTTTCTATCATGCCCTCGTCCTACCAGATCAACTTCCAGGAGACCCCCTCCTCCCAGATCATAAGACCTAATGTGTACACCAACTTTACCATGCGGTGTGCCATAACCGTGGACCCTGTTATGTAAGTGTCACGCTGTAGCCTGTATCACGCTGCTGACATGTGTCTAGGTTACCCTTTTTTTGGGACAGTACCTTCTGTATGCAATACGTGCACGTTTGAAATACATGTTTTGAACAGAATGTGGGCACGTTATGAATGTTATCATGGTTCTAATGTTTTCCATTTTTTTTCAATTTTCTGTATGTCAGTCTGTATGACTATAATACATAAGCAATCAATAGGCACGTATACAATGTGGTATAGCAATCCATGATATGTAATAATAGGATGGTGCGGATTTTATGGCCTGATGAAAAATAACGATAGATTATATTAATATTATATAGTTCGGAGTTTCGCTGCTATCTGGTCAGGACCAAACCACCAAACTAGTCAACCACTCGAAGGACCTAATACTAACTGCCACATATTTCCAAATATCCCCCACTTTTTCTTTAGACGATTTTTATGCTGATCGAAACTTTTGTACGCGCACCGGTTTAGAAAATATAAAAACCTTTGTTATTTAAATTTACAATTTTTTTAAATGTTTAAATTGAAAACCTCGGGAATGTTCGGCTATTGTTTATATCATTCAGATGTTCGCGATTAGTACAGTCTCATATTAAGGTCAATCGACGCTCAACTTACTTTATGAAGAGAAATGAGAAACTTAAAAGCAAAATTCAAGCACAAATCAATTCTTTAATTACAGTTCAATGAACCACCAGTACCAACGTCTTACTGATGAACGACATAAATTTGCCTTATAAGCTCTCAAAATTTAATTTGCCTTATGAGCTTTCAAAACTCGAATAAATACTATTTAGTTGAGTCCTAGCTTTAGTAACTGTATTTCGGCTCTAAAATCATTATTCCTCGGCCAATTTTTTATTTTTTCATGCTGATTTGGAGGATATTAAAGCATTTGACCCTGCCAAAAAAGTTTCAGTTGTATATCTTTTACGGTTTTTGCAGAAAGTTGCGTTAAAGTCGATGCCGTGGTGTCAGTAAAATGGCACAGATATATATATATCGTCTCGCTTTATATATAGTAAGATTCTGTAAAACATTTTTTCGTCGGCTGTGTACTAGTAACGCAGTTGGTAAAAACGCCAGTTTAAGCCAACCTGTGTTTAGAGGTTGCGAGTTCAATCCCCGTCAGGGGCAGTTCTCAACATATAACCAAAAATGGTAATCTTTTTTTGCTCTTATGAGTGGGTCAATCATTTATTTTGAATTGTAGTTGACGAAGTGAGAGTCTCCACTCAGTGTGTTAAAACATAATTCTTTGTCGACAAAGAATTATGTTTTTCGTCAACTACAATTCAAAATATATAACCAAAAAGGAACGACCGATCACCAAACCATGGTATTGGTGTTGCTTAGCACAAAATGGTACACGGACTAGGCCTTGGAAAAATTAATTGTTGGTAGTTGTGATGGGCTCCTCGTGCAGAAATGCATGAATATCTTCCTCCTTGCTAACACTTGCGTGAGCACTGAGCTTGGAGAAGCATCATGAGCGGGCGTTGCCAGGTAACTGGCTATCCCGTGAATGGAAGCTTGTGTAAAAAAAAGGGGGGAAAAGTAGAATATACTAAATATCTGTAAACATTTTGTTTTGCAATTTGCATGACACAATGCATGACATTTAATACAATATTCTGTCCACCTGCAATCCTGCATGTCTTTTTTGCATGTCTTTTTTGCATGTCTGTTGCATGATTACATGTTGCATGATTCACTAACCCTGACTCCTAAGTCTCTACCACAGTGAAGCGCCGGTTATGTACTGGATCAAGAACGGAGCCTCGCTGGACATGAAGCCTCCCAGCAGAATAAGAACTGAAACTACAGGTAAGTGCGCAGAATAAGAACTGAAACTACAGGTAAGTGCGCATAATAAGAACTGAAACTACAGGTAAGTGCGCAGAATAAGAACTGAAACTACAGGTAAGAGTGAAGAATAAGAACTGAAACTACAGGTAAGTGCGCATAATAAGAACTGAAACTACAGGTAAGTGCGCAGAATAAGAACTGAAACTACAGGTAAGTGCGCAGAATAAGAACTGAAACTACAGGTAAGAGTGAAGAATAAGAACTGAAACTACAGGTAAGTGCGCATAATAAGAACTGAAACTACAGGTAAGAGTGAAGAATAAGAACTGAAACTACAGGTAAGTGCGCATAATAAGAACTGAAACTACAGGTAAGAGTGAAGAATAAGAACTGAAACTACAGGTAAGTGCGCATAATAAGAACTGAAACTACAGGTAAGTGCGCAGAATAAGAACTGAAACTACAGGTAAGAGTGAAGAATAAGAACTGAAACTACAGGTAAGTGCGCATAATAAGAACTGAAACTACAGGTAAGAGTGAAGAATAAGAACTGAAACTACAGGTAAGTGCGCATAATAAGAACTGAAACTACAGGTAAGAGTGAAGAATAAGAACTGAAACTACAGGTAAGTGCGCATAATAAGAACTGAAACTACAGGTAAGTGCGCAGAATAAGAACTGAAACTACAGGTAAGAGTGAAGAATAAGAACTGAAACTACAGGTAAGTGCGCATAATAAGAACTGAAACTACAGGTAAGAGTGAAGAATAAGAACTGAAACTACAGGTAAGTGCGCAGAATAAGAACTGAAACTACAGGTAAGTGCGCAGAATAAGAACTGAAACTACAGGTAAGTGCGCATAATAAGAACTGAAACTACAGGTAAGTGCGCAGAATAAGAACTGAAACTACAGGTAAGTGCGCAGAATAAGAACTGAAACTACAGGTAAGTGCGCAGAATAAGAACTGAAACTACAGGTAAGTGCGCATAATAAGAACTGAAACTACAGGTAAGTGCGCAGAATAAGAACTGAAACTATAGGTAACTGCGCAGAATAAGAACTGAAACTACAGGTAAGAGTGAAGAATAAGAACTGAAACTACAGGTAAGTGCGCATAATAAGAACTGAAACTACAGGTAAGAGTGAAGAATAAGAACTGAAACTACAGGTAAGTGCGCAGAATAAGAACTGAAACTACAGGTAAGTGCGCAGAATAAGAACTGAAACTACAGGTAAGAGTGAAGAATAAGAACTGAAACTACAGGTAAGTGCGCATAATAAGAACTGAAACTACAGGTAAGAGTGAAGAATAAGAACTGAAACTACAGGTAAGTGCGCAGAATAAGAACTGAAACTACAGGTAAGTGCGCAGAATAAGAACTGAAACTACAGGTAAGAGTGAAGAATAAGAACTGAAACTACAGGTAAGTGCGCAGAATAAGAACTGAAACTACAGGTAAGAGTGAAGAATAAGAACTGAAACTACAGGTAAGTGCGCATAATAAGAACTGAAACTACAGGTAAGTGCGCAGAATAAGAACTGAAACTACAGGTAAGTGCGCATAATAAGAACTGAAACTACAGGTAAGTGCGCAGAATAAGAACTGAAACTACAGGTAAGTGCGCATAATAAGAACTGAAACTACAGGTAAGTGCGCAGAATAAGAACTGAAACTACAGGTAAGAGTGAAGAATAAGAACTGAAACTATAGGTAACTGCGCATAATAAGAACTGAAACTACAGGTAAGTGCGCAGAATAAGAACTGAAACTACAGGTAAGTGCGCAGAATAAGAACTGAAACTACAGGTAAGTGCGCAGAATAAGAATTGAAACTATGAGTATGAGTTAAGTGTGCAGGAGAAAGGAAATATATTATCAAAGCTGGCAGTAGGTAATGACTAATGATACAGATAATGAAAGTTCTAATTAGTAATAAGATAGTTTTGTCGCTGTAAGACAGTTTCATTCATTATAAAGTTTTAAGTTTCATCCATTCCTCTCAATTCACCAGTCCAATCTTTGTCCTATTTTCCTATTTTAATTGTCAGTAATCAACGTTTTGTGGTTACTCTTATAATGACAGTTGTCTAGATATCTTAATGTTAATCTGTATCTTGTTGCAGAAAGAAGTGTGTAACTAGGTGGTAACTAGGTGGTAACTAGGTGGTAACTAGGTGGTAACTAGGTGGTAACTAGGTGGTAACTAGGTGGTAACTAGGTGGTAACTATGTGGTAACTAGGTGGTAACTAGGTGGTAACTAGGTGGTAACTAGGTGGTAACTAGGTGGTAACTAAATGTTAATCTGTATCTTGTTGCAGAAAGAAGTGTGGGTAAAGTGGTAACTAGGTGGTAACTAGGTGGTAACTAGGTGGTAACTAGGTGGTAACTAGGTGGTAACTAGGTGGTAACTAAATGTTAATCTGTATCTTGTTGCAGAAAGAAGTGTGGGTAAAGTGTGTAACTAGGTGGTAACTAGGTGGTAACTAGGTGGTAACTAGGTGGTAACTAGGTGGTAACTAGGTGGTAACTAGGTGGTAACTAGGTGGTAACTAGGTGGTAACTAGGTGGTATCTAAATGTTAATCTGTATCTTGTTGCAGAAAGAAGTGTGGGTAAAGTGACCATCAGAACGAGTAAACTAATCTTCGACACCCCAAATGAAAGTGACAAAGGTTAGTTTTCAGTTGCCTTATTAGTTACTTTAATGTTTTAAAATCCGTGGACGCTGGAGGCCCTAGTGTTCATAGGTATGTCTGTTCAATTTAATTCTGTCCGTCCAAATAAAAATCCGTTCAAATTCAAGTATCCCATTGCAAACTTATTATCCAGGATATGACTACTTTTTAATTTCGGACAATTTCAATTTCATCCGGACTAAATTATATAATATTGATTAATTTTCTTTCTAACTTCCTAATTCTTCTTCCGTTTTTCCACATCACCGTTTATTTATCTTTTATTCAAGTGTACACTGTACGTGTATGATAACTACTAAATGTTTACTTTAGTGCTGAATAAGAGCGATGCTCTGTTCTCTTTCACTCATTGTTTACTACTTACAGATACAGTCTGTTTCTAATTTATTACTTTCGTTTTTGTTACTTTCTTCACATATTTCAGCTGTAGTTATGCAAGGCTTCAACAAGTCTGAAAGTCATATAAACATAGGCTACATGATAGGATTCACTGTACAGTGTACCGTCTAGGTTGCCACAATACATATTTTGTAATTAATCATTTCATATTCCCATATTATTCAATCCAACAGACTTCAGATTTATATCATAGTAACATGTGCCCGTACTCAGATTTGTCGTGTTGAGACTTGGCGATCAATATCACTGGTATTTACACATTCTTCTCAGCGTACTTACGTTGCAGCAACTCAGAGTCAGACGCAATTAGTTCTGGCAACTCTATGGTTATACATTTTTTCCTTTTTTCCTGCGTGTGCCAGATATATTTCTTGTATGACGTATTCTTCTACAGTCCACAGAACATTGTCATGGCCCTTATTCTCACTTCAAAGGAAGAGGTAAAACAAATACTAATTGGTTTTCACTTTTCTCTATGATGATATTAGGCTACTAAATTTTAAGTTGAGTACTAAAAGCAAAGATATCTAATATATCATGACTTTCTCAAGAAGTAGGACATAGATCAAAGAGCATGGGCAATGGCACTGGGACTACCAAATTAATTGTTTCATTTCTTAGCTTCCTTTGGCAGTCACAGGCTGCTATTACAGTATTACTTTTAACCAGTAATCTCATTTGACTAATTCGTGTAATGTGGGCTCTTTTGAGAGATTTCTTGATTAATACTTTATCAGTTACCGATTTAGAGAATTAATGGTTGAGATCACTGATAATTATGGCCTGACAGTTTTCTCGTTAGACGGTAGACACGCTAGGAGCTCTGGACGAATTTTTGACCGTAAGATTGATTAAAAGTGGTCAGGTAATGATTGACTGATCTGGGAATCTCTAAAAAACCGCCATTCCAAATCGAAGCACTATAATCAATTAAATAATTGTTAATAAATTAGCAATCTCCTGAACCTTCCTCTCGTCCAGAATAATGACACACCAGGACAACATGACATCAGGACTACATGAACACCGTAGTGAACGTTACATCTGGATCCTCTTCAACACCATCGTCCTCCTTTCCTCCCTGATCGGAGACACCGTCATCCTGTACGGGACCATCAGACACAACGCTATCACCCTGCACAGAGTTGTAGTGGTCCTCATCCAGCACCTCGCAGTATGTGATATATTCCTAGCTGTCTTCAGAGTCTTCCCCACCATTGTGTCTCTCATCACGGACAGATGGGTCTTTGGGACGTCTCTCTGCTACCTCAATGACCATGTACATTGGTTGTGTAACCCCCTGGTGATGGCCCTGACATGTGCTCTCTCCATTGCTAAGTTCCTGTCTGTAAAGTTCCCGTTCCGAGCTGACACCTGGACCAGGAAACAAGCTCACATTGCATGTTTCGTCCTCTGGGGAGTCTGTCTTATCTCACCTTCTCAGCTGATCCGTGCAGTCTACAGTAAACAAAACTCAATGCATTTCTGCTACATTGACTACTCCTGCAGCTATAACATGTCCATCAATAACACTAATGCTCCCACATGGCTGTACTACTCTACTTCTACTTTCTTGCTTATCTCTCCCATTCTTATCTCATTCCTCCTCCTCTCCACCTGCACACTCCTACTGGCTCAAGCCTGGAAAACTGCTCGCAGATACCGGCAACATCTCCGCTGGCAGGGTATTTTAACAGTCACGCTTACCACTGCTGTCTTCTTTGTCTCCTTGGGACCTTACTTCATTGTCAAAACAACAAACGATACTGTTGAATACCATATCTCAACTCAGAGAGCCGTGGAGTTTCTTCAAAACATCAACATTATGGCAAACTTTTTTGTGTATTCTCTAACGGTGAGGAGTTTTAGGCGGTTTCTGATGAGTATGTGTGGGGTGGGCAGGGTCAGCATATCAGTTACCCGGACTGCTGATAACCAATATAGTCACGTGTATTTGTCACAAAGACAACGTTCATTGCAGCCCATGAACGTGTCACCAAGAAAACGGGAACGTTCATTGCAGCCCATGAACGTGTCACGGGGAGGTCGTCATCCGAGTCACATGGCTGTTTTATCAGTGATAAGAGCAGGACAGAGTCGGCTGCGAACACAAGACGTTCTAAATCAATCATCTGTGTGAACATCGAACGTTTGTTTGATTTTAACATCATGGTAGTACTATATATTTCTTAATTTTATCTTTTTATAATACACTTTATCGGACGTTATTTGACCGGACATTGGGTGAACGGACATAAAAATTAACACTAGGGCCTCCAGCGTCCAATTATTGTCCGTTCAAATAAAGTCCGATAAGGCCAGCTATATTAATGTTGTAGTGTTGTAATTAGTTTAAAATATGCTATTTTAGGTGATATTACGATACGTTAAACGTTTCACTTAGTTTCCTGATTCCAGTGTTATGCAATATCGTTATTATTTTCTACAATCATTTTTTCTGTACATTTTGATCGTTTCTTTGTTCACAAAATATACGAGACACTGCTATGGTTTTTTTTTTCCTTCATATTAAGATATTAGCTCGCCCAAACAATTTAGTCGGCAGCCTGGAAACAATAACTTTTAGTCTATGAACTCTCTTAAAAACAATGACTTTCGACTTTCCCAAACTATAAATACTTAGTCGTTAACCTACAATAATAAAATTTAAAATCATAGGAAGACCCAAACGCGAATTTCATAGATATCTATAATCAGTAATCTACAACCTTTCCCTACTTTTAACTTTTACTTTCAACACTACTATATAACGAATAATTCCTACTTTTAACCTCAATAAATTTAATAAAACTATTCTCCAGGTGTGTACCAATGTATAGTGGAGAACAAAGAACAGATGCGGCAGGCTACTGCGTACGTTGACGTGGAAAAAGGGATGTCTTATGATGTGTACTATCCTCAAGAATATAATGTCATTACTAATAAGATGAAGGTTTGCTAATTTGATATTTACTTTTCATACAGCTTATTTATACTATTACTCCTGTATATTATAATTAAGATATGACATCATTACTAATAAGATGAAAGTTTGCTAATTCAGACATAATTTTGGTCAATACATATAACATCCAAAATATTAATTCTCGATCGACAGGCTTTTTAAAATGACTGAAATTGTCTTCTCATATATGCAGCGTACTGAGTTATTTGGGATTTGAGTGAATATTACTATTAATTATTATTATCATCCAGAAATTGATGTAAAATTCGATTTCAAGAGAGCGGTTGAACAAAATACTAGGGGACTGTTATAGGGACTGTAGTAAGTAAAAATATCGGCTGTTATTTTAGCCGTTATTTTGCGATAGTCTGGGGGCTGGGGGGGGTTTGGCAATGCCCCAAATGGCATTAATATCAATTTTCAGTCAGACAGCGTCTGATCAGAACCTTACCGTATTATCATACTGGGGTGCTAAGTGCTTGGAGCACGGTTAACGCACGATGCAGGTTACTTAAGGCACGGCTAAAGAACGGACACTTAACGCACGGTTTTGGCACGGTCAAAGCATAATGGGTTACCCAATTTTCTAAAAAATAGTGATGTTACAAATACATATAGATATCACCGCAGCCTTGAGGGCGGTACTAAATATTGCACGCGCGTGCGCGTGCAATATTTTATATCTCCACGAGGGCGCCAGCCCGAGGAGGAGATATTTTCGTATAGCACGGAGGGCCCAACGGGCCCGAGTGCTATACGATAGTTCCGCCCTCATGGCGAGGAATGATATCGTGTATATCCATGAGCGGGCGCTTCTCAAGTGTAGTTGTAATGCCACTAATTAGATGATCATTTACTAAGTTTTATAAATGTAAATATATCAACAATGTAATATATCCACAAGTGGGCGTTTATCACGAAGCTTCAGTTTCCAACAATCACAGCAAATTAATGTACAAGATTTCAGAAATTTTACGAGAAAATCATGTTGCTTTTAGTTTAAGATGTAGAACAGGCCAAAATGACTGACTATAGAACGAAAAACCGGCCGCTATCAAACAATGTTTCAGCTCATTGTTTCATGTACATATAATTTTATTGTAAACGATCAAAATATAGGCCCTCTCTCCCTCTCTCCCTCATCTCCTTATCTCCTTCTCACCCTCTCTCACTCTCTCCCTATAATCTTCCTTTCTCCTTCTCCCACTCTCCTTACCTCCCTCTCTCCCTCTACCTCTCTCCCTCCCTGAAACCAGAACAAGCACCGCCAGTCGCCACATAGCAGCTGCTACTACCACGTGAGTTGTCATTATCAGTTACCAGGGTAACCAGGGTTACCCGGGTAACCAGTTACTAGAGTTTCTGTAGCAGCTACTGAGTGACTGGACAATCAAAAGTAGTAACCCAGAGAGCTCGAGATCACAGTCTGATCATAGACATTGAATATGAAAGTTAAAGATCAAATTTAAATGGCAGTTTCAAAACAAAAACAGGGCAAAATATCTTTCGGGAACACAATAGAATAACACGTAAAATGTCGGCCTAAATTTCAAGGTTTATCAACTGAAATAGTGAACTGAAAATGGTAAACCCAAAACAATTAACGATACTGAAAAAATCACCGGCTTAGACTTAACGTCTCCACGAATTTGGTAACCATAGTAACAGTGTGTCACGTGTTAATTATGAGCCAATCATGGCAACCTGCGTGATATAAGGTAAGCTCAGAGTTCAGAGTTGATGTACATTCTTTACATCCACATATTGCCGTGGGAACTATTAAAGTGTGCTGTGTAGTGTGTAAGTGTGGATCAATAACACTGTTCAGTGTTCAGATTTCATGTCATCTGCTCACGAGATGTATCATCAGCCCTACCGGACACAAAAATATATCGCTACTGGACAAATTTCATGCGGGCTATATTGGCTGTATTGTTACTTGTCACGTTAATTGTCGTCTGCTCGCGTGCTGTATTTTAAGCGGGCTGGACGCGCACTGTGTCTTCTAACATCGGGCTGCGAGTGCTCAGATGACAAAATATAGCCCGCTGGTGGATATAAGCTCTGCACTTCTTGGGTTAAGACTGTAGTATGCCTATTGCTAATTCACTTAAAGCACAAATTTTTGCTTTTTTTGCGATTCACAATAAAAAATACTTTGTAAACCGAGACGGTGCCCGGGTGGTTCTAATAACCAATTTTAATCTTAACAACTATTATAGTTGAACTATATAATAAAAATAGTAGTAATCCCTCACAAGTCACAAGGGCACTGCACTCTCAATAGGAAAATGCCACACTGTGTAGATCAGCACTTAACGACGGAATTTAAACCTCATCTGTAAAATATTGCGAAAACTTAAATTTTTGTATGCTTCAACGGCCAGAAAGAATAATTCTACAAATAAAATTGTTTATCACAACGGGACAAGTCCACATCCTCTTAAGAACACTATCGTCCCTAATATAATAGCAAGACATGTATTTTAAAAATACACTCTAGTAAAAGCCTCACTCATCTCACTGATCTTTCTTCAGTATAAATTGTCCCTCCTTTGATGTAGTGGTGCTTGTTTGGATCAGCGTTCTTCTTATTTTGCAAGTTTTGAACAAGAAGTCTATGCTCAACTCGATCATCCAGTGAGCGGTCTGGACTAATGCAGACTGAACTAAACTTCGCTAACAGTCGCAGCTTTCGAGCTTGACTGAGTATCTGATAGGCTATACAGTATACTGGAACTGGACAGAGTAACCTTGACTGGCCGAGTAGTCTTCTCCTTCAACTTGCCAACTCTACTGAGCTCCATTGCTGGTTTCAGTCCAATCTCCTCAAATATGTCTCTGGCAGTTCTGTAATCTGTCCAAGTCTTTACTGGAATCTTCAGGCAAACCGAAAATCATGATGTTCTTGCTCCGGTATTCTGCTTGCACCACAGACTTGACGACTTCCTTCAAAGTCTAGGAGGTAACTAAACTTTCAGGTTGACAAACCATGACGTTTTCCTGAACTTCATCGCTGTACGATTTAAACTGACTTTCTACCGCGTCTTTGACGATGGTCTGCGCTGCCTGCAACTGTTTCTGCAACTGTTTTTCTTCGCAGTCAATTATTGATTCCTGAGCGCTGATAACCAATTTCTGATTCTCAATCAACTGATTCTTGATCTAGCTCATTACGTTTTTCATCTTCTTTAACTTGTCATTTTGAAAGCGAACCAAATGAAACGATTTTGACAGAAACGCTGCAAACATTTCTTTATCCGTTAAACTTAATGACCTTTTAAGCAAAAAATGTTTGCACTGTACAGAAGTCATGATGTCGAACTGATTCATAACTTTTGCCATCCAATCCTCAGCTTTAAACATAATACTGTCAATCTCCTTGTCGGCCACAGCTGCCATGATGCAAGGCTATAAAGCCACAAGGTGAAAGGCACAATATATCACCGTTAAACAAGGCGAGATAAGAAAGCAGATAAGAGAGCGAATTAAACAGACGTATGCTATTAGAGTATTAGTGTAGGGCTGAACTGAAATACACCATCTACTAATACAGGTGATATGGGTGAAAAAGTGGGAAATGTAAGTGCTAACACTATTTTCTCCAGATAGATGAAGCGTTCGAGCACTGTACTAAATGGAAACCGAAAGGGAATCTCGTCACTATCACAAACAAAAACGAAAGTGAAACTGTTTTCCGGTTGCTTGTAGAAGCTGGACTTACCAAAGCTTGGATAGGGTTAACAAGTGAAACTCCGCTACGGCAGGCTGGTATTTGGAAATGGCAGGCTGGTGATCATGTAACAGATGATTTTAGTTATTGGTATTCAGGTAATTTGCTTAGGTTACTGGTATTCAAGGGATCTGATACTTTTCTTCTTTTGATTGGTCGACGTCGACAGTAAGCCTTCCATACGGTGGCTTTCACAACGCGGTTATTCTTTAATAGTCAGACTGTTAGATAGTTCAGGTTTCCGTTTACATAAGTATTCTTTTGGTGCCATATAACGACTAATACTACCTTGTTCTAATGATCATTTATTACTAACCTTTTGGTTTTTACGCAAAGTACTTTCCTCGTGACAACTTAATTTTTCTGATCATGGTTTCCCACTCCCAAAACAACAAGCACGAAACTCAACCCTCCTCAGGAAATCCTGATAACGCGTTAGGAAACGAATCTTATGCAATAATGGACGTATCCCGAGCAGGCCATTGGTTGGATGTCAACAACGACCAAACATACGCATTTGTGTGCAGTAGATACACTGCTAAGTGTCCTTCAGTCGCCAAGTTCTTTAACAATTCAGCTAGTAAGATTCAGGGTATTTTTACCTTTTTTTTATAATTTTAACAGATACACAGAATTCGTCAGACTCTCAGATGCAGTTTTTATTATATTCTAATGAAACTTTAATTCTATGTTATCATTATTGCAGAGCCAGTATCAGGAAGCTTGGGACCAGCAGGTGGGGCTGAGCAGGAGTACGATGTGGGCAAAGTGATCGAGGTCACATGTGTTGACGTGAGTACTTTTTAATGCAGGGTTTTATTGGACAGGGTAGTGAAGTCAATGATCAATCCCGACATCGGGATTCCCGAATCGCGGGATTTCCCGACCGGGAAATTTTCTCAATTATTATTTTGTACTGGAAGCTCCAAAAGATATACAAAGATTTGGAGTAGTATTTACACTTTAACTTCAGGACGCAAGAAGCAACGTTCAGCTGAAGGTGACGTGCCAACCTAACGGCATGTTCTCTCCCTCTTCCGTTCCCTGCCCCGTCAGGTCACGAGCTCATCACGTGACGGGAATTAGTCACGTGATCGTGGGACTTTCCTTGTTTTTATTGTACCGGTGAGGTAGTGAGATATTGATTATAGGGATAGTTGGAGAGTTTGTTTGTTGTTTAAGATGAGTTGAAGGAATGGTGAAGATATGGGACCGATTGTGTTTGAAGAAGAAATTAACACTGACAAATGACACTCAGAATGTTGATTTTTGATCAAAATTGATTCCTTGAGGACATTGTTGGATAATACCTATTTATTGCTTAAATAATTTCGATAATGATGCTAAATTGAATTTTATCTAATAGTAATATTAATTTATTTTTGTCAACTGTAAGATAGCATTAGCATAACTGTTGTTAAATATTGTGAGTGATTTATTAAAGAACAGTTTTATAGCCCTCAGTCCAATGATTTCCAGAGAGGGTCATTGATCGATCGCCGATCATATTCCTAAATATTCGTTTAATTGGAATTTTATGTTAAATAGCACTATGCTAAAACTAAAAACATGAATTACTATCAGCCCTGATTCCAACCACTCTCTTTCATTTCGCGTGATAAAATTCGAATAATATTTTCGGTTGGCATGATTAGGGCAGACGATATTCTGATTGAATAAACTTGCTGTATTTCTTTATATGTTGTTACTTAAAGTTAAAAGCCGTTTTAAGACAAAACTAGTTCAAGTATACGATTAATAGTTTAATTGATCGTAACTCAAATGGACGTCCTACAAATTTGTTAAATAAGTGGATGTGTTCCAAATATCTACATTTATTTGTTGATCAAATGAACGGCCCTAATATTTTTATATCAGTATCATTCAAGAATATTAACGATTCAAATATTTAGTTTTCACATTATTTTGGGTGTTCTGGTAAACAGGATTGTTAGTGCAATCCTTAATTTGATTTTAGTTGTAGCTAAAATTGAGTTTAAGGATTGTTAGGTTACCCGAATTAGTGCTCATCACCAGTCACTATACTAGTAGAAATGTTAAACTGAATTGGTTTCAAATTTGCATAAATCATACAGTTAAGGCGTGTTTTATGTTTGAGATTGTTATTCAACGTTTACAGAAATGATCGCTTATGGAAGATAAAAACCAAACCAGTTTTCATTTACGACTAGTTGCTTTCTATAAGTATAACGGATGAGTACACATCTGGGCTAGATTATAGATTAATGATAAAACTAAACATTCTATCAAAAAATCACTACCTCTGCAGCGTACACGTTCCTATTATGTTGTTTGTTAATATTTTTTCGCAATTTCCAAGTGCAATGTATTTAAATGATAAAGTTAAGATTAAAATAAAATGTTCAATTAATGTTAATTTCTAATAAATATTTTAATTTTATCCAATATGTAATCTTCTTTATTTTCTCAGTATAGAACCTACTTAACCACTGACACTACCCACTATAGGGCACTTTAATACTAATCGTCCAGTGGATACCTCGGGTCCGGCCTTCACTTTTGAATATCAGTAGAACTCTCTATGCGAAAATACTATCGTCAAAGAACTGAAAATGAGACAGAGTTTGGGACAAAATGAATTTTACATTTTTTTCCCGGGATTTTGACTTCCAGTTCTTCAATTTGGTTTCATACCATCATCAATTAACTGACTAATTGGTCTCTGGGCAAAAATTCAATCCAATCTGTCAAATTCGTGTTCAGAAATTATCATATTTGAAAATGGGACAGAATTTGGAAAATATTAATTTTCGTTTTGTTAAACTTTCTGCAGTGAGCTTTCTCCGACCAAAATCAAACTTCCAGCACCTCAATCGTGTCATATGCCATAAGTAATTAACTGGCTAATTGGTTGCAGGTGAGAAATTCAGTCAAAACTGTAACATTTCGGTCTTGGAAATTTCATCTTCAGAAACTTTAAAAGGGACAGAGTTTGGGACAATATGATTTTACAATTTTATTCGGGATTTTGACTTCCAGTACCCCAATTTGGTTTCATACCATCATCAATTGACTGACTAATTGGTTTCTGGGCAAAAATTTCATCTAATCTGTCAAATTTGTGTTCAGAAAATTTAATATTTGAAAATGGGACAGACTTTTGAAAATACAACTTTTCGTTTTGTTAAGCTTTCTGCTGTGGGCTTCCTCCGACCGAAATCAAACTTCCAGCACCTCAATCGTGTCATATGCCACCTATAGTTGACTTACTAATTGGTTGCAGGTGAGAAATTCAATCAAAACTGTAAAATTTCGGTCCTGGAAATTTCATCTTCAAAAACTGAAAATGGGACAGAGATTGGGACAATATGATTTTACATTTTTATTCGGGATTTTGACTTCCGGTACCCCAATTTGGTTTCATACCATCATCAATTGACTGACTAATTGGTTTCTGGGCAAAAATTTCATCTATATTGTCAAATTTGTGTTCAGAAAAATTCATATTTGAAAATGGGACAGACTTTTGAAAATACAACTTTTCGTTTTGTTAAGCTTTCTGCTGTGGGCTTCCTCCGACCGAAATCAAACTTCCAGCACCTCAATCGTGTCATATGCCACCTATAGTTGACTTACTAATTGGTTGCAGGTGAGAAATTCAATCAAAACTGTAAAATTTCGGTCCTGGAAATTTCATCTTCAAAAACTGAAAATGGGACAGAGATTGGGACAATATGATTTTACATTTTTATTCGGGATTTTGACTTCCGGTACCCCAATTTGGTTTCATACCATCATCAATTGACTAACTAATTGGTTTCTGGGCAAAAATTTCATCTATATTGTCAAATTTGTGTTCAGAAAAATTCATATTTGAAAATGGGACAGACTTTTGAAAATACAACTTTTCGTTTTGTTAAGCTTTCTGCTGTGGGCTTCCTCCGACCGAAATCAAACTTCCAGCACCTCAATCGTGTCATATGCCACCTATAGTTGACTTACTAATTGGTTGCAGGTGAGAAATTCAATCAAAACTGTCAAATTTCGGTCCTGGAAATTTCATCTTCAAAAACTGAAAATGGGACAGAGATTGGGACAATATGATTTTACAATTTTATTCGGGATTTTGACTTCCGGTACCCCAATTTGGTTTCATACCATCATCAATTGACTGACTAATTGGTTTCTGGTCAAAAATTTCATCTATTTTGTCAAATTTGTGTTCAGAAAATTTCATATTTGAAAATGGGACAGACTTTTGAAAATACAACTTTTCGTTTTGTTAAGCTTTCTGCTGTGGGCTTCCTCCGACCAAAATCAAACTTCCAGCACCTCAATCGTGTCATATATCACCTACTTTTGTTAAGCTTTCTGCTGTGGGCTTCCTCCGACCGAAATCAAACTTCCAGCACCTCAATCGTGTCATATGCTACCTATAGTGGACTTACTAATTGGTTGCAGGTGAGAAATTCAGTCAAAACTGTAAAATTTCGGTCCTGGAAATTTCATCTTTAAAAACTGAAAATGGGACAGAGATTGGGACAATATGATTTTACAATTTTATTTGGGATTTTGACTTTCGGTACCCCAATTTGGTTTCATACCATCATCAATTGACTGACTAATTGGTTTCTGGGCAAAAATTTCATCTAATCTGTCAAATTTGTGTTCAGAAAATTTCATATTTGAAAATGGGACAGACTTTTGAAAATAAAACTTTTCGTTTTGTTAAGCTTTCTGCTGTGGGCTTCCTCCGACCGAAATCAAACTTCCAGCACCTCAATCTTGTCATATGCCACCTATAGTTGACTTACTAATTGGTTGCAGGTGAGAAATTCAATCAAAACTGTCAAATTTCGGTCCTGGAAATTTCATCTTCAAAAACTGAAAATGGGACAGAGATTGGGACAATATGATTTTACAATTTTATTCGGGATTTTGACTTCCGGTACCCCAATTTGGTTTCATACCATCATCAATTGACTGACTAATTGGTTTCTGGTCAAAAATTTCATCTATTTTGTCAAATTTGTGTTCAGAAAATTTCATATTTGAAAATGGGACAGACTTTTGAAAATACAACTTTTCGTTTTGTTAAGCTTTCTGCTGTGGGCTTCCTCCGACCGAAATCAAACTTCCAGCACCTCAATCTTGTCATATGCCACCTATAGTTGACTTACTAATTGGTTGCAGGTGAGAAATTCTGTCAAAACTGTAAAATTTCGGTCCTGGAAATTTCATCTTTAAAAACTGAAAATGGGACAGAGATTGGGACAATATGATTTTACAATTTTATTCGGGATTTTGACTTCCAGTACCCCAATTTGGTTTCATACCATCATCAGATGACTGACTAATTGGTTTCTGGCCAAAAATTTCATACAATCTGTCAAATTTGTGTTCAGAAAATTTCATATTTGAAAATGGGTCCTGGATATTTCATCTTCAAAAACTGAAAATGGGACAGAGATTGGGACAATATGATATTTGAAAATGGGACAGACTTTTGAAAATACAACTTTTCGTTTTGTTAAGCTTTCTGCTGTGGGCTTCCTCCGACCGAAATCAAACTTCCAGCACCTCAATCATGTCATATGCCACCTATAGTTGACTTACTAATTGGTTGCAGGTGAGAAATTCAGTCAAAACTGTAAAATTTCGGTCCTGGAAATTTCATCTTCAAAAACTGAAAATGGGACAGAGATTGGGACAATATGATTTTACAATTTTATTCGGGATTTTGACTTCCAGTACCCCAATTTGGTTTCATACCATCATTGATTGACTGACTAATTGGTTTCTGGGCAAAAATTTCATCTAATCTGTGAAATTTGTGTTCAGAAAAATGGGACAGACTTTTGAAAATACAACTTTTCGTTTTGTTAAGCTTTCTGCTGTGGGCTTCCTCCGACCGAAATCAAACTCCCAGCACCTCGATCGTGTCATATGTTACCTATAGTTGACTTACTAATTGGTTGCAGGTGAGAAATTCAAACAAAACTGTAAAATTTCGGTCCTGGAAATTTCATCTTTAAAAACTGAAAATGGGACAGAGATTGGGACAATATGATTTTACAATTTTATTTGGGATTTTGACTTTCGGTACCCCAATTTGGTTTCATACCATCATCAATTGACTGACTAATTGGTTTCTGGGCAAAAATTTCATCTAATCTGTCAAATTTGTGTTCAGAAAATTTCATATTTGAAAATGGGACAGACTTTTGAAAATAAAACTTTTCGTTTTGTTAAGCTTTCTGCTGTGGGCTTCCTCCGACCGAAATCAAACTTCCAGCACCTCAATCTTGTCATATGCCACCTATAGTTGACTTACTAATTGGTTGCAGGTGAGAAATTCTGTCAAAACTTTAAAATTTCGGTCCTGGAAATTTCATCTTCAAAAACTGAAAATGGGACAGAGATTGGGACAATATGATTTTACAATTTTATTCGGGATTTTGACTTCCAGTACCCCAATTTGGTTTCATACCATCATCAGATGACTGACTAATTGGTTTCTGGCCAAAAATTTCATACAATCTGTCAAATTTGTGTTCAGAAAATTTCATATTTGAAAATGGGTCCTGGATATTTCATCTTCAAAAACTGAAAATGGGACAGAGATTGGGACAATATGATATTTAAAAATGGGACAGACTTTTGAAAATACAACTTTTCGTTTTGTTAAGCTTTCTGCTGTGGGCTTCCTCCGACCGAAATCAAACTTCCAGCACCTCAATCATGTCATATGCCACCTATAGTTGACTTACTAATTGGTTGCAGGTGAGAAATTCAGTCAAAACTGTAAAATTTCGGTCCTGGAAATTTCATCTTTAAAAACTGAAAATGGGACAGAGATTGGGACAATATGATTTTACAATTTTATTCGGGATTTTGACTTCCAGTACCCCAATTTGGTTTCATACCATCATTGATTGACTGACTAATTGGTTTCTGGGCAAAAATTTCATCTAATCTGTCAAATTTGTGTTCAGAAAATTTTATATTTGAAAATGGGACAGACTTTTGAAAATACAACTTTTCGTTTTGTTAAGCTTTCTGCTGTGGGCTTCCTCCGACCGAAATCAAACTCCCAGCACCTCGATCGTGTCATATGTTACCTATAGTTGACTTACTAATTGGTTGCAGGTGAGAAATTCAAACAAAACTGTAAAATTTCGGTCCTGGAAATTTCATCTTCAAAAACTGAAAATGGGACAGAGATTGGGACAATATGATTTTACAATTTTATTCGGGATTTTGACTTCCGGTACCCCAATTTGGTTTCAGACCATCATCAATTGACTGACTAATTGGTTTCTGGGCAAAAATTGTATCTAATCTGTCAAATTTGTGTTCAGAAAATTTCATATTTGAAAATGGGACAGACTTTTGAAAATAAAACTTTTCGTTTTGTTAAGCTTTCTGCTGTGGGCTTCCTCC